ATTGACTAATAGAAGCAAGACTCAAAGAAATATTAAAAATATAATAAACATCAAAAAATGGCATATTATTTGTGGGGACAAAACCAATGTCTGCTAATGACATACGACTGTAATGAATAATCACAACCGAGATAGATGAAGCAAATTTAAAGACACACATGATTTATCATCATATGACATATCATGTGATGCTCTAGAACTAAGAATCCATATAAAAGGAGACATATGTGACAGACTAAAAGAGTTCGAACCTTTAATAGAGGAGGAAAACATGGCATATGACTGAGTGGAAAGAATGTTTTGGACTTGCTCTACAATATCAGATATTTGAGAAGTGGTCTCAAATGGATGTACCTATTAAGAACCAAAATCAATTGTTGTAGGAGTAGCAAAACATCATTGGATGATGGACTTTGGAAGTTCTTCGTATTGCTCTCAACAATTTGGTACATTGAAATTTGCAATGACTTTTCTCCTTGCGAAAAGCACATTTATCACTTCCAAATTCAATTCTAACTTGATATTTTCTTTTTTGAATAAGAGAAGCAAAATAGATTGAGGAGTTTAGAGAGTTCCTTTATTTGAAATAAGATTAGAGTGAGATTAAATTTGTTTTCTTTTGTCAATAACTTGTTAACAATTGAATCAACAACGGGAAAAGGAGTACAATGTAGAATACTTCTACGAAGACTCTCAAAATCCTCCCAAGGGCCATTAGAATTTGAATGAGACGTTGCTTCTCTCTCTCTGCTTGGTGTATGCTTTGTCAATTTTTAATCTTGATGATTTCATAAGAGTCGATTGATCCCATAAATTAGTCATGACCGAAAGAGCTCTAATGTCACTCTTAACTAATACCATATTGAAAAATTAGACTAATTATACAAACATTTCAAATGATCTCAAACCTCCTTAACAATATCAGATTTTGCTAAGTGCACGCCTATTAACTGAGAAAAACATTATTGATCCAAGTAAGGATTCGAATTACTAACATCCTGCGTATTCCAAAAAATTGCATATGTTGCTTCAATTTTTTTATTTGTGGCCTTAACTGAAGTTTCATTAACATAACTTCCACATTCTTTTTTTTTTTTTCAAAAAAAAATTCATTACTTAGCACCATAAATCATAATTTTGTCTATTTAGTTGAGCACTAAAGAGTTGAAGAGAATTGTTTTTTTCACTGACCATTACTATTATTCTAAGAATTCAAAATATAAACAAATTCAAATGCAGAGCTATCTAAAAGAACTTCTATAAAAAAAAATTAAAAAAAAACAAATTGTAACACACAAATGACGTGATCAATTAATTGAATGAGTGAGAAAACAAACTATAACAACAAAGTCAAAGGAGAATTTTAATATCATATTAACGAGAAAGAAGAGAGGAAAGAGAAAAGAGGTTAAGGTTTCCATTAAAAAAATCTACGTAATAAAAATTACAATAGAGTATAAATACTAGATAAAAAAATATCAAACTATCCTTAGTGAGATATAAATATACAATAACATAATAATAATAAATTTAAATAGTCATTTGGTTCTTTTAAGTTGAAGTGTTTATGATTTTCATCCCTATATTTTTTTTAAACAAGTTGTTAAATGTTTAAGATTCATTTGCTTTTCGTCTTTGTATCTTACTTTTTAATAAATTTTTAAATATGTCATTTTTTTTTGTTCTAGTAAGTTAGAAAATTTTTTATTTTCGTATCGTATTTTAGTAAGTTTTTGAGTTTTACAAGAACGAAAATAAAAAAAAATTTCTAACTTACATACACGAAAACCAAAAAAGTTTTAAAAGACTTCTTTTTTAAATGCAAAAATATATAAAAACGAAAACTAAAAAGATTGAACACATTTAAAGACTTAGTTTAAAAATATATATAAAGATGAAAATAAAAAAACACAAAAAAAATTATATAGTAATATTATTTAATAGAAATCTACGCTCAATAAACTAACTATCTTAGACTTTTATGTAATTAAAAATGAGTTTAATTCTTATGCATGGGTCATTATAAAAAATTTACATAGTTGTCCATGTGTATCCATTAGATGTATAATTGAAAAAAAGTTTAAACAGTTAAGATTATTTGAGCTTGAAGAATATCCGTGCATATGAATTAAATTCAATTAAAAATATAATTACTATGAAAAAGTTAAAATTAAAATTAAAATATATTTCTAAAATATGTAGTATATAAGTATATTATATGTAATGTGGTGTACAATTTTTGAAAAGAATAATTAATCCTGGTTTATGGAACTCGAAGATAGTGGGACACTGATGTGAAATGAATAGAGCATCTGTTAAGGAGTTGGGAAACTTTGACGGATGAGAAATACACGTGTCACGTGGATTAGGACATGTTTGATTTGACGAGTATTATAGGGTCATTGGCCGTTAAATATCACCTTCAATTCTCTTCTAGTGGTGTGGTGTGGTGATCATGGATCAATGAAATGAAGTGTTATTTATGGTAGGGTCAAATGTCAATAACATAAAAATGTAATTTAGTCCCCGTTGGCGCGTCGCATCAACTTGGTCTCTTTCTACTAGAAGCACAATTGTATTTTTAAAAATAAAAAGTTGTGTTATTTGAATAGAGTATATATGACATTGAACATATTTTCTCTATTTTTCACAATTGACCGCAAACATATTTAAATAGGGATATTCTTACATCTCGATTATTGATGGGAAGACACATAATTTGTTCGTTACAATAGATTCGGATTATGATTTAAATTTAAATTCTTATCATTTTATTTTAATTTTGAATGTACTTACGAAATATATCAAAGAGCTAACACTGATGTGTGTACATAAAAATACCGTTTAAACTGAAGGAAAATTTTTATCGGATTGCAGTGAGACCTATAATGTTGTATGAGATAGAATGTTATGCAGTTAAGAATCAACATGAAAATAAATTAAGTATAACAGTAATAAGGATATTTTGTTGGATGTATAGTAAGACTAAACATGATAAAATTAGAAAGGACAATAGAGAGAGTGCTAGACTATCACTTTGTACTTGTCAAAAAGTACAGGAGTGTGTGGTATCTCTAATCTAGTAGGGATCACTATAGGCCTTAGTAGTTTTATGGTGGTTAGAGTTTGCCCGCAGTTGAGAGAAGCTATGTTGGGTGGTGTTTTTAGTGTCGAAGAGAGCAAGTTCACGTGAGGTGAGATGACACGTGTTTATGTGGTATTTTAAGTATGTTATGATCGGTCTCTCCAACTCTATGGTTGAGGTATTTATAGAGATACTTTCGAGCCTAGTGTTTCTTTGAGAATGATAACCACTCTCCCTTGACTGGAAAAACTATTGGCTGCGTATTTCTTTGAAAGTCATGGCATGATTCGGCACATACAGGGACTAGATAATAAACAGTGTTGTCCACGTATTTTTTTAAGGTGAGCCACATGCCATGTAAAGGACACGCCCTAGGCGACACCTCATAAAATAAGCACCCAACAAAGAACATATGCCGCCCTACTTAGAAGCGTTTATAAATATATTACTACACACTTATAGTAGAAAAGGATTAGGGATCCTTTTCGTTTCCAAAAAAGAAAAAAAATTGAAAGTTCCATTGCTATAGGTATGTAATGTCAAACCAATATTAAATATATGTCACATATCTTAAAAATGTGTGTTATTTACACATAACAATAGTAATGGAGAAAATATAAGGAAAAAAATGGAGAAAAACTTGTAAAAAAAATGATAAAAAATAAACATAGATGATCAGGACATGTAAAGGAAACCCAATAGGTCATGCAATAAAAAGAATAAATTAGATAATGAATAGTCAAATAGTTAGAGGTAAAAAAAAACACTTAGAAAAACTATAAAAAAAATTATTAAAAAAGATCTTGAAATTAACGATTTTAATAAAAATATACTCATAAATAAAACATTACGACAAAAATTGCTCCATATAGTCAATCTCACTTGGTAGGATAAGACAAAAATTGCTCCATATAGTCAATCTCACTTAGTAGGATAAGACTTAATTATTGTCATTTAGTATCGTTATATCTCAATCAATTGTTCGGAACAATGAATTAGATTTATTTGTGAAATTGAAATAATCTTTTATGACATGTTGCAATTGATTATAACTATACATTAATTAATTTGATAATGTTGATAATTGTTATTATATGAATAAATGTTGATTATTTTGTTGATGAATGTTGATCAATTGATATGAACTATTGATAGTAATTTTGGTAATTTTGTATTTGATGTTTTTACTTGTTAACCAATTAGGAGAATCAAGAGGTTACACCATTTACAAGTGATCTATTATGAACTAATATAGGAAGGAACAGAGGCGTGTGTATATATATATATATATATATATATATATATATATATATATATATATATATATATATATATATATATATATATATATATATATATATATATATATATATATATATATATATATATATATATATATATATATAAAAGTTCATTCCGCGAGAACCCGGAAAAAATAGGGGACCCACAATAAAATCTAAATTGCAACAAGAAAACATCTATGCTACAAACATATTAGACTGGACCAACATATTAGACAATGCAGACCTAAAAACATTGGTTCGCTCCAAAAGAAATTACAAGCAAAATGGAAATGCCCGGCAAACCGATCATAGTTACCACATGTAAGCCTGGGTAGGGTCACACTCTAGAATCAAGAGAGAATTTAGAGCTAAAGGAAAGAGGGAAAAAAACTAATTCCTTCATTCATGATTTTATAGCAATAAGCAATAATAGAGAATTTTGAGCTAAAGGAGAGAAAAAAACTAATGCCTATTTGTTCAATAATTGTCTAATAACATAACTACTACCTTCCTAATAATAACTGCTGCATAATTGATTCAGACCATTCACTTTTGAACCTCTCAGCTGCTTCTCACTGTTTAGAAATAAAAGGTCTAATAGATTACTTGAGAGATCAAATTATCAATATCACTTATGCAACATCAGCTACAAATATGCTACCCGAATCACACCATCCACCCAAAACATCTTTGTTGGAACACTGCAAAGTAAAACATATAGTAATATTAGACACAAGTACACAAGTTTGAGCCAACAAATGTCAAAAATAAGTAAACAAAAATTTCCAGAAAAAGAAAATAGAATTCTGCCAAGGTTATTATGTGCCGGGTCGATTCACATATGTTGAATGATACAATGTTGTGTCTACGTATGACAAAATATAACACTGAAGAGAGAACTATAATCCTTGAGGAATCGTAAATATGAAAGTATCTCAAGAGTGGCCGAATAAGAAACCCTATGCGTAGTATTTTCAGAGAGCAATGATTTGAAAATTTCGTCTACTAGGCTACTACAGAAACATAGTTTAAGAAACTGAACAAAATTATAAAAAGATTAAAAATAAAAAAAAATAAAAAAAACTTAGTAATGTAAATTTCATCATTGGCATAGAAAATATAGTTAAAACAAAGCAGGGAAATTAGTATGTATATTAGATGCCAGAGCCACAGATAGATCAGTTGGATATTACAAAGTCAACAACAGAGTACAAACACACCTAAAATATGCAAATCAAACAAGTATAAAAAGGATTATCAAAAGCATGAGAAAAATGAGACAAAACACTTTTATAGAGTAACAAACCCAAATGCATACATACATGGAATCTATATATGAACTTTTTTAAATGCATTACCTTACTAAAGCCAAGCCAGTTCGAGTCTCCTCTAAAGGTAAATAATTTGTTGTGTTCTTTCCATTGCCCGCAAAACACCTGAATTGGTTATATACCAAAATATATAAGCATTAAAAGTATCTAAATGAATATGAATAGAAATTATAGTCTTCCTCAATTTTTTTACATTTTTAAATTCCTAACATGTGCACTGTATATTTCCAGAAACCAACTTAAATTTGTAACAATTATCACTATGGCAGTTCATAGAAAATGTTATGAAACAACTATGGTAAAAAACTAAACCAGTTAGATGAAATCACAAATGATAATTATGTTATATCTCTAACATGCCACCTTATGCAAAAGCCTACCCATCTTGAAACACAGATAATGCACAAGCCTACCCATCTTGTATTCAAATTCAATTTCTTGAACATATAAGCATGACAAGGATCAACTCTAAACCACTTGATCATGCCAGCTTTAACACTATGTCATAAATGAATGTAGGAGGTGAGATAAATCCATCTGCGGTTTCCTGTTAGACATCGCATTAAGGAATTGAGCCAAGCTGACTTTTCAATTTAGCAGTAGTTATTATATTATTAAGAGCATTTGTGTTTTATTAATTCTGAGTGTTTATGTTTAGAATAAATAGGTGAAGATAGAGGAGAGTTAATCATTGTGGAATTGGATAGAGAAAAGGGTCATTTTGACATTAGGAAGGTGCAGACCCTCGAAGTTTTGCAATATTATCCAATAATTCAAGGGATTTTCCCTGTTTTATTCTTCTATATCAATTGGTCTCTATCATTTCCACACACTCCTTTCATTATTTTTTATGCCGCATTATCTTATTGAACTTGGTAGTTATACATTTGTCATTACAATTTTTTATAAAAGAATTACCTCATAATCCACCCCTTGAATATACATATAGTCAGGATCAACTGTTGAGAAAGCTAGCCCTGTTATCTGCAGAATTTATGAAGATATAATCAATTCATTTGTAAATAGAAGCAACAGTAAAGATTAAAAAAATGATTTTCAAATTGAACAGAGGAAATCAACTTAAGCATAGCGAGGATTAACTATAAGTTTTATCAGTAATTTGTATTTCATGACATGTTTCCTAGTTTATTATTTAGATTGATTGTGTAGCTGCCGATTTCAATATCTCAACAGTAGGAATTCATTGACTTAGTTCTCTGTTTATATATTTGTACATTCACTCATGTAAAATTCACAAATAATATTGTTTGAAGTATAATGAAGTTGAAGCAACTGAAAAAAGCTGGATATTTCTCAATGTGACAAGTCCACTCATCAGTGCAATTCTTTCAACTGTGCTTAAATAATTATTTATTGACTTGTGTCTGATATTTGAAGCTATAACTTTCAATTATTTATTGTTTGGATTCTCTAACTAGAACTATATCATCTTCAAAAAACACGCATAATGACATCTGCTTTCGGATATGTTAACTTTTAAAGTACGCAAATCTAGAATCATAAAGAAATTAAAACTGCAATATCACATTCTTCAAGAAAAATCATCAAAAGTAGCACTCAAAGTTACGTAGAAAAATCAAGGATGAGTGCATTATTAAAAGTTAAAACTTACCTCAAATTTTGAACAATGCACCCATCTAGATAATGATGACCATCTATATAAAGCAATTTATGAAGCTTAGTTAGGAAAATGTAAAAGTAAAATGAAAAACAACTGAAAGAATATAGGAACATTATCATAAAAAAAAATTGAAAAATACTTCCTCCGTCCTCAAGATGAGTGACCCATTTGAAATAAAAGAGTTTCCCAAAATGAAAGACCCATTACAAATTCCAATGCATCTTTTCCAATTTTACCTTCTAATTAATGTTACTTTCATCATTCCCAATACATGATAAGGGTACTTTAGTAAAAATATCATTCTCTCTCTTTTATTTATTCTTTTTCCTTAATCTATATGAAATGGTCAACTAGGTCACTCATTGTAAGACGGAGGGAGTAAAATATAGGAACGAAGTCATGGGTATACAAGAAGTCATGGGTATACAAAAAATGACAACTCATGATTGCTTAACCATTTTTTGATCTGTTATTCATGAAATGCTGAAGGCAGCTAACCTGCGGGAATCATAAATAGTCACAGTACGGTCAGCCCCACCAACGGCAATATTACCGGTCGATGAACTGCAAACGGAATATAAGGTATCGCCTGGGGTACCATTAATCCGATGTACACAACCACCATTTTCATTCATTCTCAAGTCCCATATAGTCAGCTGCAGTTGAAAAACAGATGAAGAAAGCACAAAACAGAACTCATTATAACCTATGAAGTACAAACGTTGAAACAGATACGTCACACAACACAAGTAGACATTTTTTATAAGCTAAAAACAGATCAAAATAAATGAAAAATAACAAAAACCTGATTCTAGAAAATTTTAGGACACCTACACAAGATGTACACACGAAGGACACAATTAAAAGTAAGGAAAAATATTCATAGCTTCAAAATTTTACATTCTTGATATGTCATGTCATATGTGTCGAAATAAAAAGAAAAGGTTGGACGAAATGACCTCGTTATATGACAAAATCACCCTTACTTCATTTTTTTTATTATTGAAAATCATTTAAAAGCTAAAAGCAAATGCAATCACTGTGTTTTCAAATTTTAAATGTTCATGCTTATGATGCATTTCATGTTAGCCAAAAACAAATATGAACTAGGCTCAGACAGTCATATGATGGACACATGTTGTGTCAAACAGGTGTCTAACAAGCAGACACGCCAAATGGTGTCTCCGTGATTTTAAAATTTATAGCTATACATCTAAATAATTACCTGGCTTCCTTCAGTAATAGCTAACAGAGAATTTTGATCTCCATTAACATTTTGCATGAAATTTATTGAAGTAGGATTCCAGAGTCTGCAAGATGACAATTTAACCGACAGAATTAGAGGAATGGTTACGTAAAAATGTAAACAGATAAAGAACTTGTCAGACATTATTACTTCTGCTTTTGGTGCATAGAATCATAGATTCAATTCAACTGAAAATTAAAGTATCCGATAATTCATGTCCTAGGAAAGTCAAAAGAAAGAAACAGGAATAAGAATTCAAATTTTTAAATTGTATGCACAAAAAGCAAACCAGATTTCATCAAGAAGAGTAAAAGGGAATCTCTTTCAGACCTTTCAATGTATAAAAATTTCCATCAAGTCAAAGAAAATTAGTAAACATGGAAGATCAGTGCATAAGTTTCCTATCAGGTAGGACCTTGGGAGGGTAGATATATGGTAGAGACAGAAATAAAATGCTTACGGTCGTAATGTGCGAACGTGCATGTCCTGGTCAAAAATGTCAACAGTTTTGCAAAAGCTACGAGCAACAGCTGCCTGGGTAAAGGAACCACTCGACACAATTAGGGAAAACCCATATGTAGGTATGAAAGCACTAATTCTCATTTTCTTGAGCAAGCATGTCAAACTGAAGCCACGGCTTCTATGGTTGTTTTATTGATTTTCTTATGATGGTAAAGACCAAAAGCTAAAAAATAAGATTTACACCTATGCTTGTATTAAAGTATCACCAATGAATTATAGAGAGGAGTGAATGTTCTCCTACTAAATGTATCCCATCACTAATTTTTTTAATTTTTTTCAAACATTTTTTGTCTTTATCTTATTTTAAATGGGGTCCTCCATTTGAGGAATGGAAGATCACAAATCCGAGAGGGAATGTGTAGAAAAACTTAGACATTAATATAAATATTATAAGGTTAATTATAATTGAACAATATATGTCTGTGTACCCAAAGAAAAACTGTTAACATTTAGAGAATTGTTTGTATTTAAATTAAATGCTAAAAAATAAAAAAAAAATAAAAAAAATAAAAAAGAATGAAATGTAAACGGAGGTTAGGAAAAGAAGAGACCGATGGAATGGGGAGATTGGAGGGAAGAGAGGAGGAGGATTGGGATAGGGCTTGTATTCCTACATTAAATTATAATTATTTTGGTAAAAGAATGGGTAGTACGGTACATTTGTGTATGCGGGAAAAATGTTTGGTTATATTTGCTTTGAATCTTTTGATTTTGTACCACCTGCTTGTCTTATGGTCGTTTTACACCATGCAAAAAACCGACCTTTTCGGTCCATGCTTTTACATTTTGTTCTTTTCTCTTTTTGGCCAAAGGGTAGCTTGTTTTCTTTTCTTTTGCATATGTAATGTATCTTATCATCATACCGGAACCGACCTAAGCATGTCATCACAATATTTTGTTTTTATGCGTTAAAACCACCCATTCAACGGCTCTACGTGATTATGATGGAAATTATATACACTTACATTTCATCAGCGTGGAGTATATACTATGCGCTATCTCTTTGGATAAACATTTACAGTTTATAATATAAGAGTTTAATATGTTAGGTATTCATGTATAAGTTGTTTTATAACAAAGTTAAAATTAAATTGTTTGTGAATAAGTTATAAACTATTTTTATTGAATTATTTTAGAGATTTTATGAGAATAAGTTTGTGAATAAATAAAACTCTTTGGATAAGATACACTACATATACAAAAGAATGGAAGAGAAGCTTCCCTTTGGCCAAAAAGAAAAAAGGGCAAAAGAAAAAACATGAACCGACAAAACAGATTTTCAGCATGGTGCAAAACGGCCACAAGCAGGTGGTACAAAATCATTCATAATAGACATAACAAACCGTTTTTCACACGCTTTGCTCGCATACACAGTTGTACAGGACTACTCTTTCTCTTACAAAAATCATCACAAATTAATGTAGATACGAGCCCTACCACAATCCTCCGCCTCCTCCCTCTTCCCTCCAATCTCCCCATTTCATCTGTCTCTATTCTTTTTTATTTTTTAGCATTAAATTTAAATACAAATAATTCACTAAAATATTGACAATTTTTCTTTGGGTACACAGATAGATATTAGCAATTTATATCTAACATTATAATATTTAAATTAATATCTAATTTTTTTGTACATATTCCCTCTCAAATTAGTGACCTCAGCATTTCTCAAATGGAATGCTCCATCTAAAATAAGATAAAAACAAATCAAAAAAATTTTGAAAAACTTAAAAAAAAATTAATAGTGATGGGATATACATTTAGTAGAAGAACATTCACTCCTCTCCCTCTAATAATAACTAAGTTAAGCATGTCCCGAAAAAGTCTTGGATCTTTTTAACATGAAAAATAAATGCATAGAACAACAAATAACGATACTAAAAAAGCTCACCATAGACAATTGATTTGGGCTAAAGCATAGTCCTGCCCAACTTCCTTCCCCAACACCATTATCAAACGGCAATGCTGAATATGTAAGTCTGTCAATATCTACAAATTTGTCGAAATACATCGACCTGAACTTAGTTAGTGATAGTATATTAGAATTTGGGTTGTAATGTGAAGACTATCTACAACTTATAAACAAATTTTCAAGTTTTATCTCATTCAATGTGGGGCCCTTGGGACACCCCTCTCACATATAAACAAACTTTCAAGCTTTATCTCTTTCAATGTGCGGCCCTTAAGATACCCCTCTCACACTAAGGACTGAACATTTCAAGTGTGACCGGGTTGTTTGATTGCAGTGACTTAATTGCAGGTGGGTTACAAATTAGGGATAAACTCTTATACCATATTATAATTTGAGTTGAACATAACTCAAAACTCAAAACATTTATAAAACAGACCTGTAAGGTAACAACTGCTCATCACATAAAAAACATTTTCACGCTTTATCTCATCCAATGTGAGACTCTCAACATAGCATTTAATGGTCGATTTGAAATCTTGGAAGGAAAAAGCTATGATTAAGATTAATTTCACAAAATAGATCTAGCCAAGTGCTATAGATATGACATGATATTAGACATGAACATGTGGTGAGCTGCGAGATGTGTTATTGTACTAAAAAGTAAAGCGATTCGGGGGTTGGAAAATTGATTTACATGAATATAATGTTTGCAAGTTAGCAAGACTTATGGCAACTCAAACTTGTCAATATAGTAAGTGATATTTATTTCTGATTGTTACATACTATTGGAAACTAGGCCTATATAGTTTGGGCATGTAGAGAAGAGACATATAAATTATGTAGTAAGGAGAGTAGATCAAATGATGAATAGTCAAATCTCTAGAGGTAGAAGATCTAGAAAAATTATAAGCGAAACTGCTCAGAAAGATATTGAGATTACGGAGTTGGATATAAGCATGGTTTTATAGAGAACATTATACTCCCTCTGTCTCTTAAAAGTGTCTCATTTTCACTTTTTCTTTGTCTCGAAATAATTGTCCCTTTACAATGAGTGCAACATTTACTATTTTTTCCACTATTATACCCTTATTTATTAACTTCCATTTTATTCATCTACTCCACTAATTACATTTAATAAGGGTATTCTAGTAAATCGTACTAATTTTATCATTAAAACCAACACATCTAATTATTTTCTTAAAAACTACGCATAGTTCAAATTGGACAGTTACTATGAAACAGAGGGAGTAGCATATTTTAATCCATGTCCTATTCCACTTAATGGGATAAGACTTAGTTGTTGTTGTTACAAACAAGATTTGTGGGTACCTTAAAAATACAAAACGGTTCTCAGTTCTCATGTTAAATTTTTGGAGGCGTAGAAGATTCTTCTTTTATGTCGGCTTTCCTGCATCTTTTTGTTGCTCATAGCTTTTGCAAAGCTTTCCACTGTTGACACTTTTACCATTTTATTTTACCAGGATATGCACGTTTGCAAATTACGACCGCAAGCGATTTTATTTTTGTTTCTACCATATATCTACCCCCCCTCCCAAGGTCCCGTGATAGGAAACTCGTGCATTGAGCTTCCATGATTACTAATTCTTCCTTGACTTGATGGAAATTTTTACACATTGGAAGGTTTGAAAGAGATTCATTTTACTATTCTTGATGAAACACATTTAATCATTTTCTTAAAAACCGCATAGTTCAAATAAGACATGTTTTATGAGACGGAGGGAGTAGCATAGTTTAATCCATGTAGCCGATCCCACTTAGTGAGATATGTCTTGGTTGTTGTTGTTACAAACAACATTTGTGGATACCTTAAAAATACACAATGGTTCTCAATTCTCATGTTAAATTTTCAGAGGCGTACAAGGTTCCTCTTTTATGTTGGCTTTCCCGCAACTTTCTGTTTGATGTGTTAGGTACAAGCATGGTTGTGACTCCACATTTTTCTGTATAATTTTGTAAATGGAATTCATTGTTAAGAAGTAAAGAGGCCCGTTGTTGGATTTTCATTTTTCTAAGTAGGACATCTGATCCTCCCATCTTAAGCCATGTGTGACTTTGGTCCTCTAGTTATTTTCAAGCAAATTTAATCTCTCTATTTTAAAAATACTTGAAACAGAGTCCTACAATCAATTGTATTTCACATAAATCCTTTGAAATCTCATGTTTTATTATAACATATGGGGCTATCCATAAATTGAGAAACAATGCATATCTTACTTTAAAGATACTAAAATTGAAGGCCACTATATTTTATTCTACAAAATAGATTTCAAGCAAAACTTAGTTAGAGCTATCTATAAATTGAGAAAAGTACCTTTACCAGACGCATCAAGTTTCGACACAATTAGATGACCGTATGAATCCACACTTCCCAACAGTAAGTAGCCAAGGCCTGAAAAGCATCATAAGTTAAAACATTAGAATAAACATTTTACTGTGAAGTGGCTAAGCAAAATACCAAAAGAACATTCATGATGCAAAATTACATACTCTCTGCATCAGCAAGAACAATACTCTGAATTTCGGAACGATGGGGACAGCGTTTGACTAGCGAAGGGTTAATAACCTACAAATAACAAGGATATCCAAACTTACAAGATTAACAAATAACTGGAAAAAGAGAAATAAGAAACCAAACACTAAAATTCTGATGTGTCGTTTAGCATAATAAGCAGAGAATAGATTTGCTTTACAAGACAATATACCTTAGTGTGCACAGGTATTAAGAGGCTTTCTTTTCCTTTGGTAACTGAGGTTTGTCCCAGAATGATCTAGAGAGTAAATGTAAATAATAGTTTAGTAAACAGAAATCATTATTGGTACAACAAAAAGTGCTCAAAATAAACCAGCAAAATGATGTTTTGTGTTTTAAATCAAAAGAAGTGATCGCACGACAAATGATAAAGCAGTTGGTTATATAGTGGATTCGATAAGGGGAGAAGGCCAGGTTTTAGGTCAGCAGCAAAAACAGACCACGGTATGAAGATTTTACTTTAGAAGGAACAACAAAGATCTAGGAATGAAAAACTCTAAGATTCCTATTATTCCTCTTGTAATAGTCTACGTCTAGGACGCTTCAAATGTCCAATTACGAGCATGGGGGACGTGTTGTGAATCACATATCGTTAGAGATATAATATATGTTGTGTTTATATGACTTGTGCAATCTTCAGTTTAGAAGTCAGTTTTGTAAGTCGAGTTAGACTCTTAACTATAATTCTAAGATGGTATTAGAGTCTGAGTATGGTTCTGATCCAAGGACCTATTCATCGAGTTTTGGCTTATCACATATCTTTTATTAGAACAAAATCTTCGCTATTGTGTCCATACTCTAGATATCCACCTGTAAACGATATGGCATGTAGGTACTATTGCAAGGAAATGAACAAGAAATTCCTATCAACAAACAACAAAACTTGTTCTAAAACAATATTCTTCAATCTAAGTCCCTAGTAGTAGTGCAGAATTTGCACAAACCCATTTGGATTCATTTCAAACACTTCCTATTATTCCATTGATTAATAATCTCCAAACAATTTTCCAATTTCCATAGTTTCAACACAAATTTCACAACTTCTTAATGAATGTAAAGCAACAATTACTTATACAACAAATCATACATACAAGATTGAACAACATGATACTTAACAGTAAACCTGGAGTTTATAAATGTGAGGACCAGAAGCAACGTAGAGAAAACAAGAATGTCTATTGCGGGTAACATGGAGAGCTAAGCGAGTGGGTTGAATGGTTCCCGGAGATGGATTGGTAATCAGAGTGGAAGGAATCACTGCTTTCTTCAGGCATTTTGCCTCCAACATCGCTCGTTTTGTTGATGCCCGGAAGGTGTTTGTGTTTTTGTCTGTGTGGCGAAACACCAAGGAGAGCGAGGGTCCACGGTTAAGTAAACCTTAATTTGAAAAGATGAGAGCACCCTTTTAACTTACACATTGTTTGTTCAATTGAAAGTGAGTGGAAAGATAGCAGAGTGGATAGAAAATTTATGGAAAAATGGACTTCCTTTGTTTGGTTTTTGGTCCGATAGGAAAGAAAACTTATTTTTCCTGGACCCGACAGGCCAAATTTTTTCCTCTCAAATATTGAAGGAAACAAGGCTTAATCACTCAATTTGTTTAAAAGACAAAATAGTCCTTGACATTTTTTCTGCTCACTATTACCATATAGCAGCAAGTTGAAGAATATTCCTGTCATTCCCTAAATTGTTTCTAACACCTTCACATTTTTTCATAATAATAAATTTATCTTTCTCATTATTTTATTTCTCAAATTTTGTAAAAAATTTCTTTATAAAAATCGGGTAGAAACAAAATATGCGATAGTTGTTTTAAAATATTTTGTACAAAAAAATTCAGCAAAATTGGACTTTTATTCATTTTTATTAGACATTTAAAATTTTGGCATGATATTTTATCGGATTTTTTTTTAAATATATGGAAATTCGTTGAAGTTTTACCATATTTTTTTCAAATATCCGAAAATTCGTTGTTGATGTTTTACCGAATTTTGACAAATACTCAGAATTTTTATGTAATTTTACCGCAAATTTTTTAAAAATCTGAAAATGACTTGACCAAAAGTCATTGTTTTGATAAAAAAATACAGAAAATTGTTAAAATAATAAAAATTTATGAAGAATTTTAATCAAGTTAAATTTAAGGAATTTTAAATGACACCAAAAAGTAAAGAATTTGAAATTGCTCAATCACTTTATATAATGCAAATTGTTCTGGACTAGGCTAAAGGATGGCCCACCGTCGGGCACGATCCAACCCAACTCCCTGTCGGGGAAGGCCCAACAAATGCCCAACCCATCATCTCGTACGAGGAACGCTCCTCACGCTTCTCCTCCATGGTCTCCACGTGCTCCCCACGCGGGGACATGTCACCAGCCAATTACCCGCGTTCGAGAGAACAGGTCCTCCATCTTCTGAAGTTTACGGGACAGTTGACCCAAGATGAAAATCACGTGCTGGTGTTCCCTACTCCACGTAGATCTTGGCAGTTATCCATATTGGGCCTAATGATCCAACCCACTACAGATGACTGTTGGCCCAGTGCTGGGGGCACATTATAAATACCCTCCTCTAGAGGAGGGTCAGGTATTCTAAATTCACTTCACTTTATGTACCTCTCTCTCTTTCACTCTGAACTCATTTTGACATCGAAGTGTTTTGCAGGTACACCCCCTCCTCTTCTCCACCACCGGAGAATTTGGAGTTCACAACGTGTTGCTGGCTGCTGATCTCTTTTCTGATCCGGTAAGATCAGTGGCGCCGTTTGTGGGAACCTTTTACTTCCTCATCTTTTCTTCCTCTAAAATCAAAGGACCAAAGAAAACCTTCAACTTTTGTTGATCATGGTCAGCCTAAACGTTAATGATAACATCCATGAATCTGCTTTCACCACCTTCACCAACGGCTGTTGTACCCCAAAATTTGCCCAACCTTTTCTCTACTTGGTTTATGTTTCATTTCATTGTTCTAGCATATTGCATTGCATAGCATTTGGCAATTTTACAGGGGATCAAGAGATGTGTGTGCAACAAGAGGAATGTGCCAAGTGTTAGAACATAGATTGGTTCTTAATAATATCTTTATGTTTTGATGATAACTCTTATGAAATTTTGTATTCAAGAATTATATACTCTAAAATTTGTTTAAGAATGTTTGTTGCAGATATTAAAGTGAATATCATTCTGGAAGCAAATTAGATCTGAATATGAAAATTTTGCAAGGCTCTGAAGCGTCAGAAGCATCTGTTAGAAGATTCTGAACGCTGCCTCCAGGAGATTCTGAGTTCTGTCTATAGAAGGATCTAAAGCAGAAGCAACAGAAGAATCTGAAGCAGAAGCCAGAAGCTTTTGAAGCAATGAAGAAATCTGTATGAAGAGTTTCAAGCACAGTTAATTCAGAAGACTCTGATAGTACTAATGCTGCCAGTACTGAGGATCTGATTCCAAACTCTGCTCTGAACAATTACACGCTGAAAGCACACATGCTGCAAAGACTCTGATTCAGCAAACTCTGATGAACATCAGAAGGTTCTGACCAATCTAGACTCTGATGATTCTTGTTGAAACTTGTTGAAGAAGAATTCAAAGTTATGTCCGTTGGAATGACCAAACGACTCTTTCCTCTTTTATACTAGACACAAGAACACAGACAAAAAGGATTTCTCTGTGCATTCTACTTCTAGGAAAGGTCATGTGATGTGAAGACAAAAAGGCTCAGACCTTTTTGGTACACAGCCTTCAACGTGAAAAGCTCTTGGACCTCTGTGCCTATAAAAGCAAGACTCCATTCATCTTCTTTAGTTGACGAAACACTTGAAAGAATTCATTACAAAGCTCTCATACAACTTATACTCATTTGCTAAATTTATTTCATTGTTCTTCATCTTAAGTGAAAAATCACAGTTGTGATAAAGCTTTATTAGAAGCAAATTAAACACTTATATTATTATTACATTTGATTGTAAAAGAACCTCAAGAAGATCCAGTTAGGATCAGTAGTTCTTGAGAAGACTTTGAACAGTTGTTCTTAGTGCTTATTATTGTAATCAGTTGATTTAATAGTGGATTAAGTCCTTGTTTGAGAAAGGCAAATCACTCTTGATAAGGGTGGACTGGAGTAGTTGAGTTCAACGAACCAGGATAAAAATCCTTGAGTTTTTATTTATAACTTTTTCTACATGCTTATTCAACCCCCCTTCTAAGTATTTTCTCACATTCAGTTGGTATCAGAGCTTGGTTCTGTATGTGCTACCACTTCACAGTGACAGAAAAGATCCAGTGAGAAAAACTTTGATATATATTTGGTTGTTATTATGGCTGATACTTCAACATCTAACATTAACAACAGATATGAAGAAAGGGACAGAATCAGCACTAAACCGCTTATGTTTGATGGGGAGAAATTTGATTATTGGAAGGACAGGATAGAAAGTTTCTTCCTTGGTTATGATGCTGATTTATGGGACTTGGTCATAGATGGGTATGTTCATCCCACTGATGGAAATGGCAAGAAAGTAGATAGAAAATCTATGACAGAAGCCTAAAAGAAGGAGTTTAGAAATCACCACAAGGCTAGAACAATTTTGTTAAATGCAATATCTCACACTGAGTATGAAAAGATCACTAATAAAGAAACTGCATTTGACATGTTTGAGTCCTTGAAGATGACTCATGAAGGAAACCTTCAAGTAAAAGAGACCAAGGCTCTGGCATTAATACAAAAGTATGAAGCGTTCAAGATGGAAGAATCTGAGTCCATAGAAACTATGTTCTCTAGATTCTAGATTCTTACAGCTGGTCTAAAATTTCTGGACAAAGGCTACTCAACTGCTGATCATGTGAAGAAGATCATCAGAAGCTTGCCTATCAGATGGAGACCTATGGTCACTGCTCTGAAGCTTGCCAAGAATCTAAACAAGATCACTCTGGAGGAGCTAATCAACTCACTAAGGAGTCATGAAATTGAACTTGAGGAAGATGAGCCTCAAAAGAAAGGTAAGTCTATTGCCTTAAAATCTAATAAATCTGTAAAAGATTTGCAGGTATTAGAAGAAAGCTCTGAAGAATCTTCTGAAGAAGAAGAAGAAGATGAACTATCCTTGCTGTCCAGAAGAATCAACAGACTCTGGAAGCACAAGCAGAGGAAGTTCAAGAACTTCAAAAAGTTAGATCAGCGCAAGGAGTCCTCTGGACCAAAAAGATCTGGAAAGAAGGAAGTTGTTTGTTTTGAATGCAAACAACCTGGTCATTACAAAAGTGAATGTCCACAGCTTCAGAAAGAAAAGCCCAGAAGAAAGCCTGAGCACAAGAAGAAAGTTCTAATGGCCACATGGGATGACTCTGATGAATCTGGATCCTCGTCAGAATCTGAAGATGAATGCACCAATATGGCTCTGATGGCAGGCATTGAAGATCAGAATGAAGAATCATCTGGATCTGAGTCTGATTCTGAATCTGACTCAGAAGAGGTACTTTTTGATCTCACTAGGGAAGAGCTTATTAAAGTCTTATCAGAAGTCCTGAAAAATTATAATCAGATTAAGCTCAAATGCAAGAAGCTTAAGTGCAATCTTGGCTCTGAGAATAATCTGTTAAAATCAAAAATTGCTGAGCTAAAAGAAAATAATTTGAAAATGAAAGCCAATTTTGAAATAGCTCAACAAAACTCTGAATCTGAAAGTAAGTCTAAATGCAAAAACATTTTAGAAGAATATGACTTTAGCTTTCAGAAATTTCTTGCTAAAAGCATAGACAGAAGCAAGATGGTTTCTATGATCTATGGGGTTAGCAGAAATAACAGGAAAGGAATTGGATATGAATCTTCCTCTGGAAAGGATTTAAATTCAATGCATGTTGATAAACTTGTTATTAAGAAAACTCCCTTGTACTTTCATTTCAAGTTTGGTCATCTGAATGACATTAAACACACACGTTCTGATCAGAATGTTCCTGTGTTTAAGCCAAAAGTAAGTCAGAACAAAACTGGTGTAAAAAGACAGAAGTTCAGACCAACTTTCAAGGCAGCTAACCAAAAAGGACCCAAAAAGATATGGGTACCTAAGGATAAGATTATCCATGTTGCAGATGTTTTTAGCACAAAAGTCAAGACGCCATTCATGATACCTAGACTCTGGCTGCTCACGTCACATGACGGGAGAAAGGTTTATGTTCCAAAGCTTGGAGCTTAAATCTGGAGGAGAAGTGAAGTTTGGAGGGAATCAGAAGGGCAAAATCATTGGCTCTAATACTATTGGTAATGGTAACCTTCCCTCTATATCTAATGTTCTT